CTTACCCTGCCCTACCCTGCCCTACCCCACCCTACCCTTTCCTATCCCACCCTTCCGTACCCTTCCCTTGCCCTGCACGTCCTGGCCCACCTGGGTCTCGGGCTCGCCCGTGGGGCAGCTTCGTCCCGGAGACTTTCGTGGCCCTGGGCATCCATCGGGTGTGAGCTCGGGACAACCCCGGCCTCGGAGACCTCGGGTCCCACCCAGATGGGGGTGCCCCCCCTCGTGCCACCGAGCTTCCTGCTCACGACCTGATAGGAAGGCGAGGGCCACCCGGCACTGCCTCGTCTGTTCGTCGTGCTGTCGTGGGGGGGGTCCCCGTAAGCCACACGACTCGAGGCTGCGTGGCGCTGCCTGCCGGCCCGCCCTGCCTTTTTCTTCCTGGTTTTTCCCCTTCGTACAGGGGAAATTGGCGCGTGGTGGCGTTGAGCGTTAGCTTTGAGAGAGGTTCTTTCTGATCCCACGTGTTCCCAGTGAAGCCCAAAGTTCGGTTACAGGGTGGGAGAGAAGCTTCATCCCGAGGCTGCCCTGAGGACCGGGCCTCGCGCTCAGTGGTGAAAATAACGCTCAGCTGGCGTTGGTAGGTAGCTAGTTGGAAGAGATCCAGTAGGTAGCTAGTTGGAGACGAGGAAAGCAGCTCCCGGGGTCCAGGTGGGAGACGAGAAGATACGTCCCTCCGTCCCGGACCTCGGCCGAGTCAGGAGGTACATCTGGCTTCGGAATTACGCGAGAGCAGTTCAGACCCCGGACTCTTACGTGATGGAAGCCTGACTGCTGTGCAGCAAACGTTGGCGGGAAGAGCTGTGACCGCTTAGAAGCAGGGCCCCGCTGGTTTTGCTGAGGTTTTTCATAAACCTCCCCCAGTCTCGGTCGTACGTGCACGGTGGTCGGGGGGGCCGCCATGGTGAGTGCGCCTCGGGTGTGGTGCGGGGGCGTTCACACTGATCGTTCTCTAAGCTCGTAAGGGTTTCTGCCCTTACACCCCCATGTCAGGAAGGAGACCCTGCACCTCCGCGTGGCGTGAGGGTGTGATTTCGAGGCCACACGTGCCCCTGTGCTGCACGCGGGCTCACCAGCGGCCGGGGGTCCGGCCCAAATCATTCCCAGCTTTGTCTTAATGACGCGTCGATACATTGTAGTCTAGGTCCAGGCTCCGTGAAGGGAAGCGGTGTGGGAAGTAAATGAACCGCTCGAGTCCCCAGACGCCGAGAAGACCCACAAGTCTCGTCACCGGGAGTCACGCCTGAGAGAACTGGTGTGCCACGAGTTGTTTGCTCTTTCCAAAAATGTGTATGTGTACACGATACACAAAACACTTGAATTCAGATGTTAATGAGAAGTGTTTGCCTCTCTGTGACTAGGTGTGCAGACCATCCAGTTGTGTATTAGATGTCCCGGTTGTGTTCTCTTTATAGTCTAGGGATGCTTACGATACATAGCATGTGTTTATGTAATTCTTTTTAACTTTATTTTGAGAGAGAGAGAGAGTGCACACACACACAAGTGGTGGAGGGGCAGACAGGGGAAGACAGAGAGAGAATCCAAGCAGGCTCCACACCTTCAGCGTGGAACCTGACACGGGGCTCGAGCTCACACACCGTGAGATCATGACCTGAGTTGGAGTCCAGAGTCAGATACTCAACCGATGGAGCCACCCAGGCACCCCATTTTTTTCAGTAAGAGTAGTAGTAGTTGACATTTTTTTAAGTTCATTAATCTTGAGAGAGAGCGCACACACGCCAGTGGTGGAAGGGCAGAGAGAGATCAAGCCATCGGGGGAGGGGCAGAGCGAGGGAGAGAGAGAATCCCAAGCAGCCTCCACGCTGTCGGCACAGAGCCTGACGCGGGGCTTGACCCCACGAACCGCAAGATCACGACCTGAGTGGAAGTCAGGAGTCGGATGTGTAACTGACTGAGCCACCCAGGCGCCCCTCACGTGTTTTATTTGATACAATTTTTGGCTTAACTATTGCCCATTTAAAATCCATGTGGAACCTCAGTTTCCAGTGGAAAAACCAGCAAGTTGAGCAAGGATCTCCAGGGGTCTCCTCACCGTGCAAGCCCTGCTTGTTTGCACACAGGCTGTGTGAGCTCTGCCCTTGGGTGTGTCCAGGTGCCCTTGTTAGCCTCGGTCCTGACCTGCCTCAACCCCCGGCATTCCCGTGCCTCCAGGTCTCGGCTGCCACGTCTAACGTCACTTTGATCCTACTCGTTTTAGATAAGTCGACAGACTCTTCATACGGTGGTGACACGTACGACAAGCAGCAGTTACCATCATAGCCACTCTTCAGTGTGTAGCTCACGTCACTGAGTACGTGCCCACTGTCGTGCACCCGTCCCCACCAGCTGTCTTCGGAGCTCGTAAATCTGAGGCTCAGTCCCCATTAAACGCTAACCTCCCCCCCCCGCCCCAGCCGTGGTGTCCACCCTCTGCGTTCTGTCTCTGGATGCAACAACGCCAGGGACCTCCTACAAGTGGGATCACACAGCGCTTGCCCTTCTGTGACGGGCGCGTTTCACTGAGCGTAGTGTCCTCGGCCGTCCGTCTTGTTGCGTCTGGCGGAATCTCCTTCCTTCCTAAGACCGACCGCTATTCTGTGGTGTATGTGCCACGTTTTGCTTATCCGTCCGCCCGTCCGTGACACTGGACAGCTTCTGCGCTGTGGCCGGTGCGCGTGGTGACGCTGTGCACCTGCGCGTGCAGGCGTCTGTGTATGAATAGGCACTTGCAAGAGACACAGGTGTGGTAGTGTGGAAGCTCACCACCGTCACTGGTCTCCTAGATATGGATGCTGACAGGCGACAAGCTCGAGACCGCCACCTGCATTGCCAAGAGCTCGCATTTGGTGTCCAGAACCCAAGACATTCACATTTTCAGACCAGTGAGTATTTGTCTGAAAGCACTTTGGTTTACCTGTTGGTTTTGTGAGGATGTACGTGCAAGTGTGTGTTAATTCCTGAATACCTCCACCGAGAGAGAAATACCGTCATTTTTTACTCCCATCTATAAAACGTTGAAAACGGTTTCTGTCAGCCACCTACCTCATGATGAAAAAGCGACGTTTTAATGGAGAGAAAAGTCTAAATTCACACGTACTTTCCCGTTGTCCTAGGAGGTTCATTTATTCACCAAGTTTCTATTTTAACACCGATGCATTCATTTCCTGTTCAGTTTACAAGCTGTGTGTTGGTAAAGATTACATTTTTGTATTAGTTACACCCTAGTAGGAATGCACCTTTAATCTACCACAATTTTCAAATGAAATGCCGTTCCTTAATTAATTCAAAGAAAATGAATAAGATGGTCCAAAGTTTGTGTTTCCTGTATGTATTAGTTATGACTGTTTGTAATTCAAACAAAAATGAAATTTCCCGGCTCTGGACTGCCGCTGCAAGACCGGACCGCGTCTTAAGTCACGTGTCCACAGAGGTCGCTGTGATTCATACACACGGACTGTTTGTCCCTCCGACTTGGATAATACTGTAACGTGGGTGCCTTTCTCTCTTTTGTGGAGGTGACCAATCGGGGAGAGGCCCACTTGGAGCTTAATGCCTTCCGGAGGAAGCACGACTGTGCTCTGGTCATATCTGGGGACTCCCTGGAGGTGAGGCTGCTCTCTGACCAAGCACAGGTCTGTCCATCTGCCCGTCCGGCCACTCTCTGACCCGGCTCGTGTCTGCTCCCCCGCTGCGGACCAAGGGCTTCCTGGGTCTCACCTGTGATGTTGTTGAAGCTACTTTTCTGGTAGCAGCACTTGTGCGACCCTGGTGAGCACCTGTGGCCTGAACACGGGATAACTTGTTCCTTCGTGTTTTAGAGGTTGATCCATTTCCGACTTACAGTCCTCTCGAGGCGCTAGGCCTCATTCTCGCGGTTAATAGCACAGCCACCTTGGAGCCTCTAGTGTGGCGCCGACAGTCTGGACCTAAAGGTACCCAGACCGGCATTTCCAGGACTGCGCCCCGGGTCACAGGAACAGGAGACAGGCTTGCGGCCCCACAGGAGGGGCTGGCACGGCTGTTCCTTCCCAAACCACACTCACCCTGAGGCCGGAGCCCGGGGCCCGTGCCCCGAGTCCCCGGCCTCTTTCCTGGTTCCCGTGCCCGGGGGCTAAACCCAGCCTCTGCCAGGGCCGGACGCCAGGGGTTCTGTGTGTCTGGCTGTGTGCGGGCACCTTCCTGACGCTCCGCCCCGGGCATCCGGCGGGGCAGCTGCTGCGGGCCCCGAATCCGCGGACGGGCGGGGCGGCCGTGACCCGGGGAGGAGGACGCGGGGTGCTCCCGGCACCTGTCCGCACCGTGCTCTGCGCCTCGGTGCTGACGCCGCTGTGTCGCAGGTGTGCCTCAAGTACTACGAGCACGAGCTGGCGGAGCTGGCCTGCCAGTGTCCCGCCGTGGTGTGCTGCCGCTGCTCGCCCACCCAGAAGGCCCGCATCGCGAAGCTGCTGCAGCACCACACAGGGAAGCGCACGTGTGCCGTCGGTGAGCCTGCCGCCCTGCCGGGCCC